CGGTGGCCAAAAGGGGTCTATCTATAATAAGAGGGACGTCCACATTATCCTCGATGTCAAGAATGACAAAATCGACCGGATAAATGAGGGTCCCGAATTTAATGAGTAGATCTTCAACCACACCCTTAGGGTGCACTATCGATCTATAAGCCAACGGGATATTCATCCTAGTAGCTCTAGGTTCACCTAGGTCTAACTTTTTAAACAATCTATACGGCATCACATTAATGCTAGGACCTAGGTCCTCCAAAGACTTTCTTATGCATATATTTCCAATAAAACAAGGGATAGTGAAACTCACTGGATCCTTGTGCTTTGCAGGTAAGTGGTTCTGTAGGATTGCCGAGCACTTCTCATTCAATATCACAATAGTCATTCCTTCCAGCTTCTTCTTGTTGGTGAGGAGGTATTTCAAGTACTTCACGTACATGGGCATCTGAGTGAGGGCCTCAACAAATGGAATGTTGAGGTGCAATTAGTTCATCAACTTCATGAAGTGGGCGAACTCTGCCGCCATGCGGTCGGTGGACTCGGGTAGGGTAAGGAAGAGGTGGTCTTTCTTTCCTTTTCTTCTGTTCTCGCGGATTCGAGTCCACCTTATCCTTCTCCGTCACACTTGGATCCCCTTCTTGCTCGAGGGGAGTTGAGGCTTTTGTTTGCTCTTCTACCCTGGGAGATTTCTTCTGGAGAGGTACTTCCCTCATTTCTCTCCCGCTCCGAAGGGTCACCGCCCTTAGTTCCTCTTCATATGATTGTCTCCGAGAAAGGGCTGCTTGTGAGATAGCCCCCACCTTAGTGGTCAAGGCTGTCAAGTGTGATTGGTGACTTCGCAACCCTGCCTCTATGGCCGAGAACTTCTCTATAGCCTCCCCCATGAACCTTTCTATGTTTTCAAACTTTTTTGAAGCTGGTATAGACACCACTTTTTGTCCGGATCAAAACATATTTAATCAAATAAAATTTAGTTTCAGTTTAAGGTTTGTAATAGCCAATCTTGAATGAAACTTCTAGCTAAACCGAATGGGTTAATTACATGGTTGGTCACTGAGATTACAAAAAACGTTCAAGTTTGGTCACTCAAAATATTTAAATCCATTGGTGGTACTTCACTTTACAAAAACCGTTCATGTTTGGTCACTCTCCGTTAGTTGTCGTCCATCTCCGTTAAAGAAGTTCGTTAAGTGATGATGTGGCGGACGGAATCGTCTAATCAACATTATTCAACCCGAAAATTGTCTGACCCAACCCGCAAAGTCATTAAAACCTGCCAGTTCATCTAAACCTACCCAACCCTCTAACCAAACTAGACCCAACCCACCAACCCAACTGTCCACCAAAATTAAATCCCTAAATCAAAGAAAAATCAACACCTTCTGTGGGAATGACGAAAATGCAGCAGTATCCATGGAAGAATTCTTAAGAGGCAAACCTTTGAGGCTGAGAATTGGAATCAACTTAATCGGGCTTCCTCCAACTCCTCTCAACAGTTTCACCAGAGCCTACACGACCAAAGTTCCACCTTGAAGTCTTGTCCCCTCTTTCCACCTTATCCTTTTCATTCTTAATTAATGTTGAGCTCCATGCTCTCCAGCTTCTCATCAATCCCTTTCCAATCCTTCCTCTTCTCTGCCAAACCCTCCTCTCTCGGCCTAGCACTCCCAAAAGGATTCGTACTCCTTCTCCACCAATTCATTCTCATAAAGCTCGTGGCTGCTGCAAAACCTCATCTATCGGATTAGCATCCCCAAATGGACTCGAGCCTTTGGGCTTGACAACCAATTCATCACCATTACTCACAGGCACAGTCCTCGGATGCAACATCAGCTTTGGCCGAGCAGTCAAGGGCCTCGATCCATCCCCCTCCTCCCTCTTCCTCCCCTAGGTCTCAGAATCCGCAGACCCACCACCCTTAACGGAACCTTGTCTATTGTGTGACAGTGCATCAAAACTACCTCTCCACTCAATAAAAACGCCACCATATTTCCTCGGGTCAACCGCTGGCTTATTGGACAACCAGCTACTAGCCTCGTTGGCTTTCGATTGAGACTCGAAGAACGATGAGCCCCTATCCCTATCCCTCCTCTCGAACCCATTTCCATTAATCGCGGAGGGAGATTTCTTCGCCTTCGACCGGTCATCGTCCTCATCAGCGCGGGACGGACCTAGAGGTTCTGTTTCCCTACTCGAACCCTATCCCTAGGGCCAGAAGAATTACTATCCCTACCCCAACGGGAATTAGACGAATCGTCGTCGTTCCGATAGTTGTTCATACCGTAGGATTTGAATCCGCTACCACGAATCTTGTCGAGCTCCTCCGTTGAATTACAAAATCAACACCTTCTGTGGGAACGACGAAAATGCAGCAGTAGAGTGTTGATTTTTCTTCTATTTAGGGATTTAATCTTGGTGGACAGTTGGGTTGGTGGGTCGGGTCTGGTTTGGTTTGAGGGTTGGATAGGTTTAGATGAGCTGGCGGGTCGGGTCAGACTATTTTCGGGTTAAATAGTGATGATTAGATGATTTCGTCCGCAACTATCACTTAACGGACTTTGTTAACGGAGATGGATGGCAGCTAACGTGAACAGTTTTCGTAAAGTACCACCAATGGATTTAAATATTTCGAGTGACCAAACATGAACGTTTTTTGCAATCTCAATGACCAACCATGCAATTAACCCCAAAACGAATTGTAGTGCTTGGGTTGGGTCTTTATTTGACATAAGTCCATGAGATTTGAAAAAGCAAATCTCAATTGAATTGTTGACGAGTTTAGCAAATTAGGGGCGTCAAATTAAAATTCAGTTTTTCTTTTATAGGTCATATATACGAGAATCATTTCCCTTCAACGACTTGTGGGCAGACCCAAAAGATTATGACATTGCAATTTTGGAGTTACTTGGGGAAAGTACTGCTCCCTGCGACTCTCTTGTCATATAATAAGATTATTCTTGATATATTTCATATATGTGTGTTTGTAAAGTTTCTACGAATAATATAGATACAATATAGTATGTGTATTCACGACACTCATCAAGACTATTCACAATCTATATACAGTGAGAGTGTTCATAATACTTGTTAAAAATATTCACAACACCTGTTAAGAATATATGCAACACGTACTAAATGTGAAAAATCCAAATAATTTGTACGAATATGTCAAATGTGTTATATGTTGGCTTGACATTTCAGTTTCAGTTTGAACCAAAACTGAATCAATAAGATTTTCTTGTCGAATTTTGGTATAGGTCTCAAACTGTATGCACTTACCAGTTTCAGTCTGATTAAAATAAAAAATCGATAAGAAAGCGAAAACATCAATACACAAACACCCATGCACATACATTTGTTTTTCGGTTTCTTGAAACCAAACCAAACTATTAAGAGATCTTAATGGTTTTTTGTTAATTGAAATTGTTAAGCCCCAAAACAGATCAATTTGGTTTCATGAGAAGAGCTTGTTTCGATTTTTGAATCTTTTATAAATATATCACATGTGGTTTTGTGTAAATATGTCAGCGGTCAACCCACATATGAAAATATCTGGAAAATATATCTAATGCATATAAAAATTAGGGTAAATATTAGTTATTAGCTAAATCTTTTCCACATCCTATTTTATTAGTAAATTTTATTGAATTATTAATAATTAATCAATTTTTTGTAATGCATCAACATATTAGCCATTTTTCTATTACCGTTAATAATTCAAAACTCTTTTTTTATTTAAAATGCTATAATTTTGGAATGTTGACTTCCATGTGTCTTCTGTGAGTCAGTATCATATTGCCAAATTAATATTACTAACAAAATTACTAACTAGAAATTAGTTTTTGGCTAATTATTAGTAATTCAATAGATTTTTCTAATAATAAAAAAGAATACAAGAGATGCTTGTCTAAAAACTCGTATTTACTCTAAAAATTAATTTTCCTTAATCAAAAGTTGTTTGATTCAAATCCAGCTTCTTATAGTAGATCTACTGTAATAGACTAATCTCATCTTTGAAATGATACCATTTCACTCGAATCCAGATTTGCTGTATTTGAACTACATAGGGAAAAAGAAACATCCAAGTTGTCCGATGGCATTATTAATTAATTTATATTTTGCATGCTGAGCCAAATACAGTGGGGTCAAACGGGACGTGATTGGCGGAATTCCGGAGCTAAACGGGATCCACGCCATCAGAGTCCACGCATTTCTTCTAAATACCACGGCCGACTAGGGATGGCAATGGGTCGGGTTGGGTCGGGTTTTGCCAAACCCAAACCCAAACCCATGGGTTTATCTTTGAAAAAAATCCGGGGTAAAACTCACTGGGTTTGAAAAACTCAAACCCAACCCAATCCGTTGGGTATCCGCGGGTTCATGGGTACCCACGGGTTTTGTCGTAAGAAATTTACAATTACAAGTTTTTATCAAAATTAAAGTCAAATATCAATCTCTCAATACAAATTATCCATATATAAAACACCATTCTAGAAAATTCAAGCAAATCACAAATTAACTATACAAATTGTTCAACACCAATCTAGAAAACTCAAGAAAATTGAAGCAAATCACAAATTATCCATAAATAACATGTTTAATTGAAAGCTTCTTCCTTTCAATTAAGTTTCTTTACTCTCCACTCCATAACATCAACTTCATTCTACACAATTAAAAAGAAAAAATTAGACATGTCTCCACAAACATAAATAAGATTAGTTGTTTAGAATATTAAATATACCGAAAAAATTAATTATATGGGTGGGCGGATACCCACGGGTCGGGGTTACCTAAACCCAAACCCAACCCAACCCGGTGAATAGTGAACGGGTTTAAACCCAAACCCGGCCCAAAACCCGTCAACACGGATTTTACCCGCGTTGACCGGGTTGGATCGGGTGGGTACCCGTGAGTTCGGGTTTTGTTGCCATCCCTACGGCCGACGTCTTCGCTCTCTCTTTACCTCGTCATTTCCATCGTTGGGCTTCAAGAAGAAAGAAAGAGGCCCAACCAAACTGTAGCGTACGGCAGGCTGGCAGGCTGGCAGGCGACACCAGTCAAAGAAAGTCTCCTCCCTTCCCCGCTCTCTTTTCAATTTCTCTTCAAGAAACAAGTCAGAACTCAGAAGCTCACCCATCCATCTCCGGCTGCTCCATCGTCGATTTCGCGGCGTCTCTCCCGCCGCTCGTTCTTGCGTTGTACGGAATATCTACCGGCGGCGACTGCGGACTTAAGGTAATTCTCCATCATCGTTGACCATAATCTTTCTTCTGGAGTCCAGCGCTATGCATCTACTTGCTGCTTCCGAAATTCTCTTCCCAACAACTTGATTCGGCGCTGAAATTGCCTCGAATTCGGCTAGGTTTTCTTCTTTTCCTTGCTCGATAGTATGTGGAGTAGTCTCCGATCGCTTCGTCGCTGAGAACTGAACCGAGCGGCCAGCGCCGAGGCTATCCATTCCAGAGCAGTGACCGAGGGTGATTTCTCCGTCATTCCTTCTTGGACGGAACTTGTAGAATTTGACGATTTCTATGGCGTAATGATTTACTTCTTTGTTAGGAATTCGTTGAGTACGTTTCTTGCTGGACTTCTATTAAACGTTCGTGTTCTTTGATCGCGATCTCTAATATCATGCAAGAAGCTTAAACACTCTGTTAAGCTACGATCAGGTTCATAGCTCTTTCCTGTTTGGCGCTGATCCTGAGAAGAAATGTCCCGCGCGTTTGTTTATAAGGAATTGAGACGAGTGACTTCTCCGTAATTCCTTGAAGTTTGGGGAGTCTAAAATGGCGCTGCAAGGTATAGGGTGTGAGTTCCTGTTCGATTTGTTCCATACTGTAATTTGCTGTATCTGCGTAGAGTCCCCTCTCCCTTTGTTGATTGGCTGTGTGTGTGATCTTGCAATGTCTTTATTTGTGCACTTTGTCAGGATATGATATTGGTCAATTATTGCAAGAAGCTCAAACACGCTGGTTGAAGCCCGTGGAGGTGCACTTTATACTACAGAATTCAGACAAGTACGAGTTTACACAAGAGCCACCTACTAGACCATCTGGTAATCTTCTTTTCTTGTGTAATAAGTAGGCAGCAATCTGTTGTTGTGTTTGTAGTTCATGTTCATGCTATGTTCCAGTTATTAACAGTTCCTTTACATTTATCTGCTTTTTGATAGGTGGGTCACTGTTTCTTTTCAATAGGAGGGTAACTCGCTTCTTTCGTAAGGATGGTCATAGTTGGCGGAAGAAAAGAGATGGAAGAACTGTTGGTGAAGCACATGAAAGACTTAAGGTGATGTCTCCTTAGTTTATGGTGCTTGAGGTTAATCATATTTCAGATGAATGAAGAGAGGATTTCTAAGTTATAATAGTTTAGTTCTTCCCATAAATCATTAACTGTAGGATAAATTTGCTTGACTTTTTTATCTGAATGTATTTGAACAAAGTGCTTGTGTACATATTTTACTGAAACCTTAGTTTAGAAAAATATATGAAGTGTTCAACCAGGAATGAGTTTTTTGTAATTGCTGAACTTCATGGTCCAGCAAGGTAATTTGCAGAGAGATGCTTTTATTTCCATCCGTCCCTCAACTCTATCAAGATGGAATATCTGTAGTTTCCTCGAGTGTGGCATATGAAGCGCGATATATATTCAGAATCCCTTAGTCTCGCAACAGATAGGGTCTGTTATCCTAGAAATGGATGTAACCTATGAGTCATGGTGCATTCGCTAGTTGTATGCATGTTTTATGGTCTTTGAGTTTGTTGAGAGGTAAAGGTCGGTCAATCTGCAGGTTGGAAATGTTGAAACTTTGAATTGCTATTACGCACATGGAGAAGAGAACCCAAACTTTCAGAGGCGCAGCTACTGGATGCTAGACCCGTGAGTTTTGCTCAACTTCCATGATTGTCTATTTTGTAAAGCCCTTGCTCTGCTGGATCCGAATCTGACATTTAGTTAACACTTAAATTTCTCATAGATACGGTGAGTGATGTCTTAAAATATTACGTGGCATGCGCAGCACATTTGCCACCTTTGTGATGTAGCTAAAACTACGTTAGAATATGTTGACTGTAAGTTCATGGTGGGAACTTGTAGAAGAAAGAAGATACTTGTCTCACATATTACTTTTCCTGGCAGGGCATATGACCATATTGTTCTTGTACATTATAGAGAGATCAATGAGGTGAGATCCAAGATAAAGTGTTACAAGTTTTCTGGTTCTTTTGGGACACTTTTAGTTCTACGGTAGCCATCCCTGGATGCTGATATATCAACTCATCGTGGATATGTGCAGGGAAGAACAGCTTCTGGATCTATTGCTCAATCATCTCCAGGAGCCTCGTACCATCTTGGTCAAAGCCCAAGTTCTTATACTACTAATAATCAAGGATCTACTTCCTTAATCAGTAATTCATGTGAACCATATACAAATTCAGCTAGTCCTGGGTCCATCGAAGTTACGTCTGAGGTAGTTGTCAAGGGAAATGATGGGTGTAGTACAACTGGGTTTACTACTCCAAACAATGAGGTCGGTCAATTTTTTCGAAGGCTGGAGGAGCAGCTAAGCTTGAATGAGGACTTAATCTCAGGACTCGGCCCATTTAATGGTGACGAAGTAGCTGGTAATCAGTCAGAACTCGTGGAATTTCGAACACGAACCTACAAGCAGGATCAGCTTGATGTTGCTGTAGGCAAACCTGAATATTTCCCAGAGTATTATGATCACAATGCGGGAGTGGAAAGGAAGCCAAACAATCAGCTGTTTCAGAACCCAGGTTTTTTCATGTCTCCTTGCTTCCATTTGTCTTATCATTTCTGAGGTTCTTATGTTTTTTGTTTAAATAAGAGAATAATGCTTTTTACTAGAAAGTGGTGTGACGCCCATAAAAAGAAAAATGTGGTGTGACCATCCCAAAAGAAAGTGTTTTTACCCCATGGTGTTAAATTTGGGGTAACAAATTCCTAAGGTTCCTATGTTGATATTGTTTCTCATTTCCCTTTGCCGAACTGGGTCGTCTTTGTGTCATACTAGTGTTCTCATGCAAATTTGACATTTAGAAGACTATGAAGTATTATAGGTAAAGGAATTTTTGGATCAAACAGAAAGAATAATAGACAAGGTAAATGAAGAAAGATACATGATTGCGTAGTGGGTGTGAAAAGGTAAAACGGTTTATTTTTAAAAGACTTCAAAAGCAATCTGGGTTGTGTGATTAGATAAACATTGACCATCTGCATTCTTAAGAAACAAAAGATAAAGTAATTAAATATAAGGAGCAGTTTCAGGAAGAGATAATTTGGACAGAACAAGAGGATCTAACTGATCATGTGCCCTTTTATTGTTTTGCACGTCATGTTTGAACAGTCTGCATACCTGCTAAATTTCGACATTTTTAGATGGTAGTTGTGCAGATCTTTCATCATATATGCTTGATGGTGCAAGTGGAATGAAGGAATCGCTACAATGGGATGAAGTTTTTGGATCTTGCACACCTTCATCACGTATTGACTCCAAGGTGAGACATTTGGGGGCCTTAAGTTGATTCACTTAATCACATTAAGGTTCCTCCTGTTTGGATGTCTGAACCATGGTTTAATTCACGGAACAGGAAAACTTGACATCTGACTTAAAGAGGGAGCCTGCTGAAGAGTATCAACCTTCACAGTGGCTAAGTTTTGGTGGAAATAATGCTGGAAATTGTAAGGGTTCCGCTGTTCAAATTTATTCTCCATTTTTGCTTTGATATTCTGGAAAACTCCCATAAAGCTTTTGCAAACCATGCCTGCTCTCCAGCTTCTGTTTTGCTGCCTGAAGTTGGAAAATTTGAAGTTCTTGGATACTCTGATATGGAAAGTCAACCAGACAATTTCGACTACCCAATGCTCTACAGTAATGATAAAGCAAACTCCCAGCTGACCCTTGGGCAACATCAGAAATTTAAAATCCAGGAAATTTGTCCAGAGTGGGGTTATTGCTACGAGGGTACAAAGGTAACTGCCAAAAACTGGCTATCTTTCTATTTGAAATTGATTGCCATAGCCTCCCTCCTCGTTCTTACATTGTCCTAGCTGGCTAGTTCTCTCTTTGGGTCTCAGTATCATCCCCTCTGTGGGTTTTTTTTTAATAATTCATTCATGATTCCTAGTAAGGCCCTTAGGTCATTAGACAAATTGTTCGATGCAATCTCAGTACAGAACTATAACAGTATAGGTGAACCAGGGATTCTGATGCGTAGGGGTGCCTAACCAGTTCCGTCTGCTTACCAAACTGAATAACCATTACAGATGCATTATAAGAAACTAAAACTGTTAGGCCACTTAACAAAAATATTAACACAGTTGACTGGAAACCACAAAACTGAACCAAGTGAATGACTGGTATGGACCAGTTTTTTAATTTTGTTTGGGTAAACTTGAAGATTTTTTACAAATGCCTTTTGATTATTACTGCTGTTCGTTATTTCATGATTTTTATATACCGGTAACACACAAAAGCAACTGCAACTGCTGTCGTTAATAATTGTTCCCGGCTAACCAATGTTTGACCCAATGTAGTCAAAAGCGAGATTCTACGTGGAAACGTTTTGGTGATCTAGAAGCGTAAAATCGTAAGTTTTTAAGTTTTAAAGCGGAGTTTTTAACTACATGAGTTATAAAAACTGAGATTTTGTGTAGAAGCGTTTTAGTGACCTAGAAACGTAAAATCGTAAGTTTTTAATTTTTAAAGCGCGATTTTGACTACATTACTTTGACCACAATTTAACCAACTGGTTAGCCACCTCCTTGCTTCAACTGCCGTGACATGTCTTTCTGGGAATTAGCTTCCACATAGTCTTTGTTCTTAATGCACTGCTATATTATACCAGTAACACACAAAAGCAACTGCCACTACTGTCGCTAATAATTGTTCCAGGCTAACCAATGTTTGATTGACTGCAATTTAACCAACCTGTTAGCCACCTCCTTGCTTCAACTGCCATGACATGTCTTTCTAGGAATTAGCTTCCTCATAGTCTTTGTTCTTAATCCACTGCTATATTGTATATGGTTTTGGCAGGCTGCCTCTGATGAGATTTCATTGGCTTTCTTTTTGGTCCAATTTTGATGTCTAAACTGTGAATGCAGGTCTTGATAGTTGGCTCTTTTCTTTCTGACCCCTCGGGATCGGCATGGGCCTGCATGTTTGGTGACACTGAAGTTCCTATAAGGATTATTCAGGAAGGCGTTATACAGTGTGAGACCCCCCATCTAGACCCAGGAAAAGTCTCAGTCTGTATCACATCTAGCAATCGAGAATCTTGTAGTGAGATCCGGGACTTTGAATTTCGAAAGAAGCCTAGCCCTGGCTGTATTCATTGTGCTCTATCCCCATTGGAATCCAAGAATCCAGAAGAACCGTTGTTACTCGTCAGATTTGCACAGTCACTTCTGTGCGAGTCCTCTTCGCTGAAGCTTAACAGCGACGAATCTTCTGTACGTAATCAACCCGGAGCATCAAATATGGATGACGACTCATGGACTCAGGTAATCGAGGCTCTTTTAGTTGGTAGCGGAACTTCATCAACCACTGTCGATTGGCTTCTGGAACAACTTCTCAAGGATAAGCTGGTTCATTGGCTTTCCTCCAAGTCCAATGGGCCATCAGATAATCAATCTGGTGGTTGCTATCTTTCCAAGAAAGAGCAAGGGATTATTCACATGGTTGCTGGGTTGGGCTTTGAGTGGGCCTTGATTCCCATACTTAGTCATGGGGTCAGTGTAGATTTCAGGGACATTAATGGCTGGACTGCTCTTCATTGGGCTGCTCGCTTTGGCAGGTAAGGATTTCAGTACTGGACATTCTTCCATAACTGAATTGCTAAATCATGTTTTCAGTAATTTCTTGCATAGTTAAATCATCACCATTCGTGCTAATTGTCACTGTGAGTTAATAATAGATCGCTGAGATCATATGCAGCCATCTATTAATGTAACTACTCTTATCAGTATCATATAGAAAAAATAAAGGGAATGCCAAACACTAGAAAAGGGGCTCTCTGATTTACTCGGAAAGAGGCGGATTTACTTGCTTCTTATCTATCAAGATTGAGGATACTAATATCGTGTTTTCTCTCTCAGGGAGAAAATGGTTGCAGCCCTTATAGCTTCTGGAGCCTCAGCTGGAGCTGTGACAGATCCTAATTCACAAGATCCCATTGGAAAAACCCCAGCTTCCATTGCTGCCATCAACGGCCATGATGGACTCGCTGGCTATCTCTCCGAGCTGGCGTTGACAAGCCATCTCTCCTCACTCACATTAGAAGAGAGTGAGTTATCCAAAGGATCGGCTGAGGTTCAAGCCGAGAGAACCATGGATACCATTGCGAAAGAGAACTTTCCGGCGTCTGAAGATCAAGCTTCGATAAAGAATACTTTGGCTGCTGTTCGGAATGCAGCACAGGCTGCTGCCCGGATACAATCTGCTTTCCGTGCACATTCGTTCAGAAGGCGGCAACACGGGGAAGCTGTAGCTGCTGAAGATGAGTATGGCATTTTATCTGGTGACATCCAGGGGCTCTCGGCGCTGTCAAAGATGGCCTTTGGTAACCCACGTGATTATAGTTCTGCTGCTTTGTCTATCCAGAAGAAGTATCGTGGTTGGAGGGGTCGACAAGACTTCCTTACCCTGAGACAGAAAATCGTGAAGATACAGGTACATGATTCGTCCATTGTCTGTGATATCTGAAGTAGGAAGATGAAATTATGTCAAGACTCCCATTTTTACTTTCATTTTTTTTTAGAGCGTTTGTCTTAGTTTTGTGACCTTTTTGTAGAGTTTGAATAGGTGTTTTAAGAAATTATATTGAAAAAGTCGACCTTTTTTAATGCCACATTTAAGCTAAAGCAAGCACAACCTTTACGTGTGCTACACTGCACGTATTAGTGCTCCAGTTGCATGATTGATCAGCCACCTTGGGATGAGATATTGTCTTACTCGTCTTTGATTGCAGGCATATGTGAGGGGGTATCAGGTGAGGAAACACTACAGGGTAATCTGTTGGGCAGTTGGGATTATTGATAAAGTTGTGCTGAGGTGGCGCCGAAAGGGAGCTGGGTTGCGTGGGTTAAGGAACGAGACGGAGCCCATTGGCGAGGAAGAAGAAGAAGATGCAGACATCCTCAAGAGTTTCCGCAAACAGAAGGTTGATGGAACTGTGGATGAGGCAGTCTCGCGTGTTCTGTCGATGGTCAAGTCTCCAGATGCACGCCAGCAGTATCAAAGGATGCTCGAGCGTTACAAACAAGCTAAGGTAAGCAGGAAATCAGGTCTAAAAACTTTTGTTACTGGGCTTTAAGATTTGGTTTTTGTTAAAAGGGAAGAAGGAACCATTTGAATAATCGGATGCCATGAAAGACAGGTTAACAATTTCATGGACATTACTTGATTCTTGATGTCCTGAACAAATCCAACGATTGACTAATGATCTTGAATACTCTACTGTTTCATGTTGACATTGTTTTGTATCACAAACCTATTATTGTTTCTTGTTTACATTTCTAGGCTGAACTAGCTGCCAGCAGCGAAGCGGGAACTTCAAATCCGCGCAGTGGATCGGCAATGGACAGCGAAACTCAGCACTATTTCCAGTAGAAGTGTCCTATTCTGGCAATTCATATTTGCTTAACAACTTGGGGTGGTACGAGGTTTTAGGTTTGTTTCAATTTGGCACTGGTGGCTAGCTGCTCTTTTTCTCGATTTAGGTGTAAAATGTAAATAGCCTTCGATTGAGTGAAGGCTTATTTTCTTGATGTAAATGGCGGGATTGATTTTTGCAACGACTTTTGGTTGGTGCTGTAAATGGTCTTGTAGTCCTTTTGCTTTCCATTTCCTTTTCCGGAAATAGATTAACAGTAAGTACGTGCCAAATAACAAGGGAGTTGCTAAAGGTCGCCCTTAAAATTGCTAAAGGTCGCCCTAAAAAGAATCAAAGTTACACTTTTACCCCCTTAGCTTCTTTACCTTCCATTTATCAAACAAACACCACTTGGACTAAAAAAACACTATCTAAGGAGAGAAAAATCCATCATCGTCATTTTGAAGCCGATATCGTCGGAGTAGCGACTCCGACGAGGTAAATACATTAACTGAAAAACGAAGAAAAAAAAAAAGGAACCGCAAATCACCTGCGGTTGGACCATGGCTGGACCGCAAATCACCTGCGGTTGGACCATGGCTGGACCGCAAATGACCTGCGGTTGGACCATGGCTGGACCGCAAATCACCTGCGGTCCAGCCATGGTCCAACCGCAGGTCATTTGCGGTCCAGCCATGGTCCAACCGCAGGTGATTTGCGGTCCGGCCATGGTCCAACCGCAGGTTGACCGCGGTCAGCCGTCGGTTCAACCGCGCGTTGACCGCGGTTGACCGTCGGTCTAACCGCGGTTTGACTGCGGTCGGCACGGTTTTTTTTTTTTTACCTTCTTCTTCTCCGACGAAGCCTTCTTCTCCGGCGAAGGCTGCTGCGCGGGTGGGATCGCGGGAGTTCGGCGCGATGGAGCGAGGTGCAGAGAGAAGGGAACGCAGGAGAAGGTTTAGGTTTAGGGCTTGTTTGTTTGTTTCAATTTTGATTTTTTCATTAAGGGTATACAGGTAATTTGACATCTAAGTTAGGGCGACCTTTAGCAATTTTAAGGGCGACATTTAGCAATCCAGAATAACAATCATCCGATGGCCGGGATGATTACTAAAAAGTTGGTCACTATTATCTTTAGTCACTAAAAATATTTAATTTCATTCATGGTCATTAAGATTAGTTAAATGTTTGGGTGCGCCTATGGTGACATCCATGTCATGGTGACTTGCACTTTTCGGTCGACCTCAGTTAGGATTAGGTCGACCTCATTTAGCATTAGGTCGACCAAACTGTTGTTTCGGTGTAAAAACAGTTTAATGGTGCTTACTTTGGAGATTCATATCATGCAATTGGCTAAATGAAAATTGAAGATTAATGGCTTGTTTTGAAGCTGGAGTGTCCCTCTATATATTGAAGTAATTGAGAGCTCGATAGGAAGTTCAAGAGACCATTTTTGAACCTGATCAAAAGGCTATGCCAAAATTGGGAAACTGCCTGAAAATGGCCAAGTCTGGGAACGTGTTTGTGAAGTCTACTTTGGAGCTCAATTCAAGAAGCATGAATGCGATTTGAATTTGTATAAAAACATACTTAATTTAACGTGGTAGAGGCCGCTGGACTCGACTCGCATCCATGCTTCTCAAATTGAGCTCCAAAGTAGACTTCACAAACACGTTCCCAAACTTAGCCATTTTCAGGCAGTTTCCCTGTTTTGGCATAGCCTTTTGATCAGGTTCAAAAATGATCTTCTGAACTTCCTATCAAGCTCCCAAGTACTTTAATGTGTAGAGGGACACTTCAGCTTCAAAACAAGCCATTAATCGCCAATTTCCATCTAGCCAATTGTAAGATATGAATCTCCAAAGTAGGCACCATGAAACTATTTTTACACTGAAACAATAGATTAGGTCGACCTAATCTTATATGAGGTCGACCGAAAAGTGCATGTCACCGTGACATGCATGTCACCGTAGCAAAGTCCTAAATGTTTTATGTTTTAAGTTTGGTTACTCTTTGTCCAACTCTGTTAATTTTGTCTAACAAGTTAGTTAACTCTAATAGTTTACCGTTAAATATAAAGGTGGCAAATGGATTGGATCCATGGATTGATGGATTGGATTGGTGGATTCATGGATTGGATCAAGTGGATTATCCATGAATCTAAATGACATTCTCAACCTTGGACCAATATGTAAAATGTGAAAAGTTTAGGTACTAAAATGTCATAATGAGAAATTTTAGGTACCAAAATGTAATTTTCCAATGATATTTTGCGTATAAAAAATGAATTTTAAGTACCAAAATGTAAAATATAAAAAGTATAGGTACCAAATCATAATTTTGCCATTTGGATCCATGGATCAATCCATGAATGCACCAATCCAGATGGATTGGATTAGGTGGACATTTTTAATGGATTGGTGGATTGTATAGAGAATTGTCATATGTGACATGGTTAGTAAATACTAATATTTAATATTTTTTAAATTCCAACTCATTCACAATTATTAAAAAATTCTAATTTCTTCTCATTCCCAATAAATCTAATTTCTTTCGGCAGCATACCCACACCAGCCGACGACGCCACGCAGATCTCACTCCAAGTAGTGATGGCAATGGGGGCGGAGCGGGTACCTCAATTCCCATGCCCCGGCCCACGCTACTACGGGTCGGGGCGGGTAAAACCCGCGCGGGTACGGGGCGGGGTGGGTCGACCCACTCTTACATGTTGTTCAAAAAAAAATACAAGTAAATTTTACTTTTTACAATAAAACGTAAGGAAAAACACTTTAAGAATGAAAAATATTGATAATAGAATGGATAATTGAGCCTACCAAGTTGAAAGATCGACTTTAACTAGTTGAAGAAAAGTCAAAATAGGAGAAATATGTATAGATATTGTAAGAAATTGAGATAAAATGAGAGTCTAGAACGGGGCCGGTCGGGGCAGGGCGGGTCGGAAGTAGATACCCATGCCCCGCCCCATGCTACTGCGGGTCGGGTAATACCCGCGGGGCGGGTTGAAATTGCCATCACTAACTCCAAGTACATATTCCAGCGCCGACAGCATCCTCCTCACCGAGGTCGTACGCCAATAAGAGGGAGTGGGAGCAGCGACTGGAGTCTCTAAAAATGATACAAAAGCAAGGACCCAAGAAGAGAAATTAAGTAGACACTAGGGGTGGAGTTCAGTCGGTTCGGTTATAACCGAAAACCGAATTAGGGGTGGAGTTTGGTCGGTTCGGTTATAACCAAAAATTAAATGGTCGGTTTTCGGTTATAACCGAACTACCTCCCACACCTACCGACTGAAAGAGGCCTTAAGGCTTCGGTTATCTCGGTTAACCGAGCTGCCCCTAAGACCAAAATCATCTCGTTCATCCCTCCGAATACCGACCGATTTTCGGTTAGCGGATAACAGGCCGATTTCGATTGTAACCGGTCGGTTAACCGCTAATCGATAACCGATTGTCGAGCCCTAGTAGACACACTTGGGGAAATCTGCTATTAAATTAGTTCCTGTAACTATTCGCCGGAAAAATTAAAGGTGATCTAATTTGGACTCTATTCTCGATGACTGGCTCAGGGGAACTCCAAGGCCCACGTGATTGGGTATGACGAAGCGGTCAACCAAGCCGACCAAGAAATTCGTTGTGCCCAAACCAGCACCAGAAACCCGAACCGTCCCCTAGCAAGCTTCCTCTTCGACGGTGCTTGGAAATCCGGTGTCGGGAAAACAAAGCTCGCCCAAGCCATAGCCATCAAATTCTACAGACCCAAACAGTCCCTAGTTCGTGTCGACATGGGTAGAATGATGGTGGAGAAACAATTTCTAGCTTTTTTTACCAATTCAATTTGTCGGAACCACCACAAAGTCATCATGTTTGCGAAATTGAGAAAGCCCATCCTGTCATCGCCAAGTCCCTTCTCCAAATCATCAACTCTGGAGAAAGCCCATCCTGCCATCGCCAAGTCCCTTCTTCGGTCCATGTTTTTTAACGTTTTCAGAGACTCCAGTCGCCTCCCACTCCCTCTTTTGGCATACGACCTCGGGAGGAGGTGCCACCGGCGCCGGAATCTGTACTTGGGGTGAGATCCGTCGGAGAAGGTAGCGCCGTCACTGGGATGGGGATGCTCCGAAGAAATTAGATTTATTGGGTATAAGAAGAAATTAGATTTTTTTTAATAATTTTGAAAATGAGTTGGAATTTAAAAATATTAAATTTTATTACTTTATTATTATTTAATTGTCACGTCACGCATTTATCGGTCAACATTGAGAGTTTACTACCAAGTCAGACAAAACTAACGGAGTTAGACGGGGAGTGACCAAATTTGAAACATTTAACTAATCTTAATGATCATGAATGAAATTAAGTATTTTTAGCGACTATTTAGTAATCACAGTGACCAAGATTGCAATTTACCCCTTAAATATCCAACTAATCAAATTCATGTAATTCAAATTTAATTGGATTGGTGGATTCATGAATTTATCCATGGATTGAAATGATAAATTATAGTTTAGTACCTATATTTCTTATATTTATAATTTGGTACCTAGAATTTATTTTTTATGCAAAAAATGTCATTATAGCTTACGTTTAGATGCCTATTTTTTATCATTTACATTTTAGTACCTAAAATTTTCAAAATTTACATATTGGTCCAGTCATTTGGATTCATGGATCAATCCACCAATCTATATAATCCAATCCATTTGATCCATGAATCTACCAATCTAACCAATTAAGCAAGTAAGCATATGTCTAATACATTTATAATACACTTACTTAATACCTGCATAACCCCCAAGAGTAAAGAGTTTCTCCCTTTTAAGATCCATAAAATAATTAAAGCTCGTAATTGTTCTTATACTATATTTATTTTTGTAGAGGGTAGGCAATACTATATGCGCTCCTAATTTAGATAAAGTTTATACATTATGTAGGATGAAAACCTAAATGGAAAGACCTATTTCAGTGTATGATAACTGTTAAGTGACTGTGACAATTCGCACCAGACACATCACATTCGTTGCCCATACCGTTTGTATATAGTTATGTTAGGTGGCTACATCTAATGATTGTAAGATAATAATATTCGTCACATGTATTTATGTTGAGGGTTAACTATAAGTTGATTTTCGTGTTTTATTCATTAATATATTATGGATTGATGCATAGATTTTCCTCAGATACGATAATATTCTGTTATATTAGTTAATACGATAAACTAATTCATCAAACCGATTAAACATTGATTTGACGAATTTAATTATTATATTAATTTGGATAATTTAAGTTAATTAATATAATTTATACTTAATTAGTTTGATAATTATCATGATAATCATTTCAACACCCTAACATCATAGGCTGCAGGTTAGTGTAATAAGGCCATAAGACAATAGATTCGGCTGCTGAAAGCCCATACTGCGGTTTAGATGGGCTTTCTTGGTAGCTAAATTAATGAAGCACCACCGCCGCAGGAAGAAACCATCGCTCCACAACGATATGGAGATGCACCCACGTGTCCATTCGCGTTTTCCGGCAAATGATTCATTTTCTACCCTTCCCCTTTCAGTTCTGGAATCCGTCGCTGTCCTTCCCCAAACTCCAATCTCAAAGGATTCAATTCCCCATGATCGACCAAGAATCAAACAAGGCAATGGAATCGACTCAGAAGTTGCAGTTTCTCACCGATGAAATCCAGAAGCTAGCACAAGAGAAGAAGAAGAAGAACCAAGAAGAAGAAGAAGAAGAAGAAGAAGAAGAAGAAGAAGAAGTCTACGGCGATTCCATCCCATTAGACGACAAAGATCGGCCTATTCTCTCCAGACTGCTGTCCGAGGTAACAATCATTTTTCCATCATCCCTCGTCTACTACAACGTAACATACAGATTCTGAATGAAGAGCCATAGAGAATAGAAAAGTGATTCTACGGGTTACTACCGTGGACAGTTGGAATCGCTGAAAGGAGAAGGGACGCTGAAGCAACCCGGGTCCCCGCGAGGCGGAGAAGGCAGGTCGAGAAACCGTCGGGACAGCAAGAAAACAGATGCAGATGAGGAGCTAGTGAAGGAGATTAGGAAGGTGAAGAGGCAGAACTTCATCACCCACTGCCTGCTTTCTGCTCTGATCGTGGTGACGCTGGGCTGGCAAGTCTCCGAGGTGTCCATCGCCTTGGCGGTGAAGGACAAACTGAGCCATCCAGTGAGGTCCTTGCTGAGCACCTTCTTTCCAGGCCGGGTTCGAAACGAGCAGGATGGAGAGAGGAAGCGATCTGCCGAGGAGACGGATTCTGGTTCCACCATCAAGATGCCCGAGCTTCCCTGCGTGGATTTCGGGCTCAGTGGCGACAAGTAGTCGTGGCAAGCCTTGGAAGCAAGAACATTTTTGCAGTGTATTTGTTGTATCAATCCATTTTGTAGTCCCTTATTTTTCTGCAGTTGGGGAAAACTGGGCAACGTTCTGTGTCTATTTTGTCATTATCATCATTTGCTTGGTAGAAGGATATCTATCAAGCAAGACAGGTCGAAGAAAGTTTCAAAGATATTCCAATACTGCGACCAACCCGTTTCTTAAATTTAAACACTAGTGTCAAGGAACAACTTTCGGCAACAAAGCGGTGAAGGAGATTCGAACAATAACCGAAATTCCGAGTTTCCCATTTGGAATGTCCAGAACACAAGAGAAAAGAAGCAAACTGATCAAAGAAAAACCCTGGAGATTCAGGTTCACACAAGGACGTTTTCTCTCCTCCTCGATCGATGTCCTTCAAGCATAGTTCAACCGGAAAATGTCATTAAACACATAGAAGCTTCCTGTTGGTGTTGGCATCAAATGGAACATCTGAAAATGCAGAACCATGAGGAAAAAAGATGATCAGATCAGCAAGAGGGTTGATGCAAATCAGGTCTCCACCCTCAAAATATTTTACAGCATATCAACACAGCAATGCACAAAATTGCAATCAAGAACAAGATGTCTCATACAAGACAATGCCAGAGAAGCACTGGCTAGCGAAGTAGTGTTCACATCGATTAGCTAAACCTTAAACGTTTTGTAACACTGAAGACCTGAGTAAAGACCATGATCACGCCATAAGCACTTGCAAGATTGTATGCAGTAAGAACTGGGAAAGAAACATAGAGGGTCTCTAAAGTTGGATCAATCAGTTTTCCCACAATCATGGAAACGACATTGAATTTCTCTCTGCTAGACAACTGAAATCCAAGGTTATTGCAGGAAGTATTGAAAGAAAATAAGATCCCAGTTGTGTGATTGATCAATGGAAGCCATCTCTCATTCTCTCCAACCTCAAGAAACTAAGCCATCCCAAAGATAAAGGATGCAAGGAATCATCATGCAATTAGCCATAAAAACCAGGTTAAAGCTATAGAGGTTAAAACAGCACTCTCAATATCTGTTTGCTAGCCAACTGAAATATTTGGGTCTCCCAAGAAGTATCTACGGAATAAACAAATAACAGTTCGGTGGTATGGTTGATCTAAGGAAGTCATCTCTCTGCCTCTCTAGAGCCGAAGGAGCTAAAATTATGCCTAAGATGGAAGGAATGGATGATGCAATTAGCACAAACCTGGAAAAATCTGAGCTCAAAGCAACACTAGTGTAATGGCAACAAACCAATAACTCCTTGAGAACAGCCTTGTCCTCAAGGCTGAAAACAATTAAAATATCAGCAACCTAGAAAACAGATAACAAGACTAAATGAGGCAGTAACCAAAAGGAATGATTGCAACAGCTTGATGCTTAGTTTTGGGAGGAATGGATGATGCAATTAGCATAAACCTGGAAAAATAAGAATCAGTACTATTCCAAACTACTATTGTGAAAAGGAAACGGCCAGCAAACATAGCTCCAGCAGCAATGGTGAATTACGAATTACCGAACAACTGAATCTAGCGAGTATACAACAATCGAAGCTAGCAAACATTACAAGCCATAAATGCCAAGCTCTCAAGGTCACAGAAAGATCAGAATCGTCAGATCTAAGAGAACCTTAAACAGTATACGTTATTTCCTAATCCCGTCACCAAATCCCTAATTTCCTAAGCCTTCTCCTAAATTTCAGCAGAACGTTCAATCGAGACATCCGAATCTCACAATCTATGTATCTACGATCGACTAGCAGAAGATCAGAATTGGGGGAAAGCACTAGCAGCTAACCCTAGCAATGCCCACGAAGAAGCATCGTAAACGGAATTGGACAAAGATCGAGGTCGAAGGAACACAAACCTGGCTGAACTTGAGAGCGTGCTGCTCGCCAGCGAGCTGAAGGTTACCAGAGACGAAGACGAGCATGCCGCCGGCGGGACCAGAAGGCTGGCAATCGACGGTGGTGATGCTGTGCTGGCACTGCTGGAAAGGAAGGCTGGTGAGCTTGGCGACGATGTTCTGCGAGCCCTGGATCTTCTGGCCTTCGAAGGTCAGCATCGAGCCATCCTCGTAGAGACTGGCCAATCCTGCTCGGTTGCTGTCGAACATGCTGTAGTAGTGATCCACGAATGCCTTCGCGACGGCGTCTGGATCCATGGCTGAGAGCTCCGGATGTCGTATTCTCGGAAGGAACTTCTCGCACTCTTCCCGCCGCTCTCTTTGTGCTTTCTCTCTTACAGCTTAGGAGTCACGCGAAGCTTGAAGAGGGGAAGACGGACTGGACTGACTTGAGGTTAAAAGAGGGGAGGGCCCGGGCTAAGGAGATAGGCCGGCCATGCGAAGGGCTTCTAAGATAAATTTGTCAGAACCTGAGGGCCGACGCTCAGAATAATGATAATTGTGAGGACCGGCGTGCAAAATAAAGAAAGCAAGGAGGGTTTAACTGTTTAAGTAAGAAAAACATAAAACGTCGACAGCAGGGTTCGAACCTGCGCGGGCTTAGCCCAACAGATTTCAAGTCTGTCTCCTTAACCACTCGGACATATCGACATCTTGCTTTGCATTCTGCAAATAGCATCCAACGTTGTTAGCTTATACTGCTGGAATTTCTATGGTCGAAATGTTGTCTATTGTCCTTGAGTTTCCTTATTTCCTTAGCTTTGTGTTTGATCCAACGGTCACCTTTGTCAAGCTAACTTATTGTTTAACTGAACACAGAACACCTTCCAGTTCCTCCAGTAGTGAAATTTGATTGGCAGAAGTTAAGAAGACAGCAGATAAGTTGAGCAAGTATGAATATTGTCCACTCACAATAATTGAAGCATATGGTCTACCTCATCTAGGATTCCTGGGAAGAGAATCACATTATTGGGTATTATACTGCAGTTTATACTTGCCAGGTGATTCCCATCAAAATTTCTAATGGCTTTGGTTCAGTGCCCCTTTCCCTGCTGCATACATCTGCAAAAGCTCTCTTGCTTTTGAATCCAGGAAACAAATGGGAGATGATAAGAAGATATCTGGATCTTAGTTTTACACATCTATACAATTATACACCACCTCAAATTCATAGCAATGGCAATCTTACAGACTACAAAAATAAACTCAAGCCAAAAACAAACAGTCTAGTCTAGAGATTTGACAACTTTCTAAAACACATATACAAGATACAGTTCTCTCTACTTTGCTAGGGGGAAGAAACGAAATCTATCTTTCTGTTTCTCATTGCTTCAACTGGAATCTATGGTACAAACATTGGGTACACTAGTACGCTACAAAAGGAGATTTATCTTCATATACTTGCAGACTTGCTCGAATCGCCGCCTATTCTAACAGCAACTTTCTGCTCTCTGCACATAGACTCTACTGTAATTGAAACTTCTGAATGGCGGGGAGATATTATCCAGCTTCACAAGGAAAATGATGCTTCAACTCTACGATGGGATGGAAGCTCGAGCTCTACCGAATCAATAATCATGGCTCTTATGTACAACAATGCCACGGATCAGAAGCTTTCGAGAAGGAACATGAGATAATAGTATCAGGATGAGTGGAGAACATGAAACTTGCATCAAGTGTTTGTTCATCCAGGTTCAAGAATTACTCACTGTGGGGGCAAAATATGGTAATCCCATCTGAGCAGCTTCTGAACTGGCCAAGGACCTATGCTGCTGATTGAGCTCTTAGCTCATTCAGAAGTTCTCTCTGTACATTTCATCGGAAGTTAACTTGTGAAAAAACGTGAAACTTCCTGATACAATTGTTCGGCTTCAAACGGCTTGGAAACATATCCATCCATCCCACAGCGCAAACATTCCTCTTGTGTCGCCTGGATGACATCAGCTGTCATTGCCAACACGGGTACATGCCAATTCGAGATGTTTCCACATGCTTCAATTGATACATCTCCATTTTGAATTCGAACATTGATATTATCTTCCATTTCCCTTATTCTTCTTGTAGCTTCAAAGCTGCAGGTAAAACAAAATCAGCAGAGACCCAAAAAGATAGGCAGAAGAAATAGAATAATGAAAAGACCAATTTACCCATCCATCTCAGGCATCTGGATGTCCATGAAGCAGGCATCAAACGTGTGAGGAGGCTCGAGGAAAGAGATCGCCTTCTCGCCACTCTCGGCTGAGACCACATCAGCTCCGTATCTTTTCAAAGCACCGGTAGCTACCTTAAGGTTCACATAATTGTCATCCACAATAAGAATCTTCCTTCCAGCAAGCAATCCTCGAAGAGACAAACTAGGGAGCTCCCTGGGATTCCCCTTGTTCCCCACTCCCATTGCTCTTTGCAAAGATGCGGCTAACATACTTGACCTCAGTGGCTTCATGATGGTACTCGGTCCATGAAGATCGAGACTCATGGTGCTTGTTTTGGAATAGTTGACAGAGTTTGCAAGGAGGAATAGCTTTGGACAACGTTGGTGGTCCAATTTTCGTAAGTTGTTGACAAAGAGAGAAGCAACTGTTGAATCTACATCCCAAACATCTTGTTCAACTAGGACCATGCTGAAAACTGTGTCCCCAGTACTTATACTAGACAAAGCTTGGTCCAAAGTAGGAACTACTTCTACTTGAATTCCAAGCCTTTGCACATGGTATATCGAGACCTTGGCTCTAACTTGCCTAGAATCGACGACCAAGGCTCTCATGCCTTGAAACTCTGGGTACGCCATCTTAGATTGGCTGTGCTTCGAACAACCATTTGTAAATATGGCAGTAAATGTGAAGGTCGAACCAACCTTTGGTATGCTCACGAATCCGATTTCCCCATTCATTAAGGTCACCAAACATTTGCTTATGCTAAGGCCAATTCCAGTTCCTCCTTGTTTTCTAGAGATGGATTGACCAACTTGAACAAAAGGAGTGAAGATACGAGAATGAGCTTCTTGAGGAATACCTTCTCCTGTATCCTCCACCGACACTATTACATTGATAAGGTCGGGAGAGAAAGAGCAATTGGATCCATCTTGACTGAAATTTCTGAATCCTGCCCAACTACGGCGTCTATCTGGCACAGGAAACCCGCTCAATGTCTTCCTTGATAATGCTTCTCTTTCAATATCTGTGGTTTCCATCACTTCCTCAACAAGATGCACGGTAACCAAAATGTGTCCTTTCTCAGTGAACTGATTACAAAACAACAGAAGAAACCATTATGTTAGAGCAATCAACTCAACCTATTAGATGTTACATCAGTTACCAAGCTTGTTGGGATATATTGCCCTTCAGACAGTTAAGAAGTGGTTAGCCTGTTACATAGTTAGGGGAAGTGGTTACATTTAATCAAGGCTGAACAATGTAAAGGACGTCAGCTCCTTGATTAGTAATGTAAAGGCTTTTTTTCCTTCTTTCTGAACAATGAGAAGAGATGTCCTTTCCCAAGCTCTCATTCTCAATGATCTCACATATCAGTCATCATTAGACATTTCGACGAGTAAAGAAGAAGAACGTGACTAATTTTGGGACTTACTTTTATTGAATTTCCCATGAGGTTGGTGATAATTTGTCGGAACCTTCCCGGATCACCGATGAGTGTATCAGGAACACGGTGAGAAATATAAACGGCCAACTGTAACAAAAGACAAAGTTTATTAGTTGGGAAATGGAAGCTGATTCAAAAATTCAAAAGAGTATCTAAGACTGATCATATGCCTACCTCAACCCCTTTCTCCTGAGACTTTCCAGAGAAGAGAGACAACACATCATCCATAATGGCTCTAAGGTCGAACCGTACGGCTTCAAGATCAAGTTTACCAGACTCTATCTTTGCTTGGTCCAACACCTCATTGATAAGTGAGACAAGAGCTTTTCCACTAGCCTGTGCAGTTCGGACATGGTCTTGTTGCGTCACATCAAGATCAGTGTATAAAAGCATATCTAACATTCCTGGCAAAGTAAATCCGAACACAAGGTATTACATCCCAAAGAACTTGATATCAAGCATAGTCGTAAAAAGGAAAAAGAGCTGTTCGACCTTACCTAG